GCTCATGGCAGGGGTTTACCTGGTTGGGATAGTTGATGCTTTGATACACACAACCTTAGCTTTCCGCTTATGTTACTGTGGGTCAAATGAAATCAATCACTTCTTCTGTGATTTGCCCCCACTTTTCCTCCTTTCCTGTTCAGATATCCAAGTCAATGAGCTGGCATTATTTACTGTGTTTGGCTTCATTGAGCTGAGTACCATTTCAGGGGTTCTTGTGTCTTATTGCTATATCATCCTATCGGTCATAAAGATTCACTCTACTGTGGGAAGATTCAAAGCGTTCTCCACCTGCACCTCTCACTTAACTGTTGTTGCAATTTTCCAAGGAACCATGCTATTTATGTATTTCAGGCCAAGTTCATCCTACTCTCTAGATCAGGACAAAGTGACCTCATTGTTTTATACCCTTGTCATTCCCATGTTAAACCCTCTGATTTATAGTCTGCGTAATAAAGATGTGAAAGCGGCCCTGGGAAAACTGAAACATAAAGTGCTAATTTAAGTAATTGCATACATATGTAAACAGGCATTTCCTTCAAGTCATATGAAACCAAAACTATGTCCAATCGTTTGAAGTTGAATTAGAACCACAGAGACGCTACATACAGTTTCAGAGACTGTAAATCTTTATAGGAGTCCATAACGTCAACTTTTAGACAGAGTGGCAAGTGGATTTGAACCACCAACTTTGTATTGAACACGCCAGAGCTTATCCAATTGTGTCATCAAAATTCCTTTAAAGTGACATGACACCATACAATGGATCCCAAACACTTCAATTCAATTACCTGATCATTCATACAAATCCTCAACTATAACAATGTTAAGTAGTTCCAAAAATGTGTCTTCAACTTAAACATGATCATTTTAATAATGGAAAATGTTCTGGTTTTAATGTGCCAAAATTGTATTTGTTTATTATTTTTTTCATGCATTAACGGAATTATTCTTGGAGCTATTAAACACATGTTTTTTGTCTCTTGTACTTCTTAGTTATTCAAATGCTATGATCTATCCAGCCATTTCTGGGCTAGTAAATCCTATAGTCTAATGTATATGACTTCAAATACATAATAATTTAAATAAGTCATAACAAACTATAAAATATGTTAAATGAAAAGGCAAGGGACTCTTAGTCTATAGCATAATATCTGAATCTACTGTACCAAGAAGAAAAACTTCTGTGCTAGGGGGATGTGTAATTGGTGATATAAATGGTGAATAGAGAAGCCAACTGGGGTAAAGGAAAATATTCTAGCAAGGGATCATGAGTTTTATGTGGCAATGCCTTTTTATAGGATAGAAAAGCCCAAAATAATAGATATTAGAGAGAAAAATAGAAAGACCTTCTAAAGTTCATTTTTGTGCTATAACTCTTAAGCCTTCCTCTAGGAAAATTATTTTCCCTTTCCCATTCTCACCTCAAATCAGTTCTGCATATATTCCCCTATTCTTGGTTCATAAGCCATATCTTCCTCAAAACATCATGTTAGCTATCACTCTATGAAAAATGTGCTGTCAAACCCTTAGATGGGAGAAAGATGGGGCTTTTACTCCAGTAAATTATGAATCTCATAATCCCACAGGGGCAGTTTTATCATTGTCAAAGGGTGGCTAAGAACCTGCATTGACTTGAGGACTCTGAATTTGTTTGTCCTTTCATACCCTGAGCTATGCACATTCTGTGATGAGGATGATGAGTGTTTTGTCTCTGTTAGCACAGGCATCTGCAATGTGTTCATGACACAGAAGGGAAAAACAAATATACAAACATCATTGTACTGGATAACCTTTTTTTAGTAATATGTACATGCTATTCAACACAATAGAAACTGAGAGGTTAGACTATGCCATATATATTCTTGTGAGAAACTTCATAATATTTCTTTTGTTGCTGTTATTAGATATATCCATAAATACATGAATATTAATCCACAAATTATTAGATCTTAAGGCACAAAAGAAGAATATTGGTTAAGCCCATCCTTGTACTATAATTTTTAACTCTTCTCTCTCATTCTTTAGAAAAATTTCCTTTTATTTCCTGTCCTGAATCAATTCAGTCCTGCATCACTTCCCTTAGTATTGGCTCCCTAACCACTTTCTCCTCAAGGCATCATTTTACCTATCACTCTGTTAATAAACCATTGCCTATACTCTGGTATCATTAGCATTCTGTAATGAAGATGATGAGGGCTTCTACTATGTTATAATAGGTCCCTACAATGTTGTCATGACAGGAAAGTTAGTATGTAAATATCAACATACTTTATATCATATTTTGAGTGATGTTGACACCATAGTAAAAAAAGGGGGGGGGATTCTACATGCTTTACTTCTTGTTTTAAAGTTTCTATTGTTTGTATGACTGTTGTTATTAAATGTAATACACCTATAAAGACATTCATATAAATTATTCGGGAAATAAAGAACATTTATTTGGATGTTACTGATGTTTGCCTGTTTTTATTTAGTTCTATTTTACTTTTTGATGTCCAAACAAAACAAGAAACTTATTCAGAGACCAGGGATATTGCCCTATATGCAAAGCACTTTAAAAGATGCTTAATCATCCATTACACATTTAGAAGATAGAAGCCACCCAATATCAAAGACAATATAGCTGCAATTACAAGTTTCCTTTTATGAAAACATTTCTGAGTTCTAGTAAATCCCAATAACTCTTATGCTTTCCCATGTGGCATTTCTTTGTGAGAAATTGTAACATATTGATGATAGTTAGGAAACATAAATTTTAAAGGTATGTGGGAAAGTGTGAGGAAGAATTCTTTGACTTTTAGGCAAATGGGACAAGACCATCACCTTCCACACTTCAAGGCTCTTGGGAAATGATGCTGGCCCAACCATGGGATCTGATGAAACAGCAGCTGTCTTGTCTCTCAACCTGAGATCAAATGGACACTTTCCCCTCTGCTCACTGACAAGGCTGCAGAAGCAGCAGGCTTCAAACTGAACAGTAATTTCATGTTCCCGACCTTGTCTTCTTCACCTGTCTCTGAACAGCTTGTCTGATTTGCTAATGCTTCTTTGTACACCCTCAAACAATTGGAAACTGTCCCTTTGTATACACCTGCCATAAGTTGCAGGGTAAGTGTAAGAAGGGTATTTAAATGTGCTTTGAAAAAAAGTTGAGGACCTTAAAGTGTTTCTGCCGCAGGGTCTGCTGAACCTCAACTGTTTGTTTATCTCATCTCTTTGCTTTGCAAATCATGTCTTTCTTGAACCCATTAGATTTGTAAGATAAGAGCCAGACTCTGTATTATCTTACAGGGTGGGATTATTTAGGGAAAAGTTTTAGAGTTTAGTTTATTCCACAGTATCATCTTGATTAGTCCAAACTCTTTTATTATCAAAGCATTTGATCTACACAATGCCATGACAGCGTGCTTTAAAAATATCTGTGCCAAAATTTTTTGGTACTGGCTTCAGTGAATTTTTCTCTAGCTCACAATGTATATCCATACAATCTATTTAACTAATCTTCATTCCACATAATACTTACATATTGCAACATCAGAAGACTGATTTAATTTGTACAATGTTCTGTAATGACTTCTAGTTGTTCCAAACAAAACACACTGGATTTATAAGCCAGATAGGGACTAATTGTAATGACAATATGTGGAAGTACAGAATAAATGAAAAATATTTATAAATTGCAGCTATCTCCTGCCTGCATAGTTTCTGGGGATTCTTTTAAGAATGTTATGCTTCTAAGTAGTAACTTGGTCAGATGGCCTGAATGTATCTTCCACTTCTTGGGGTTCTACAGAAATGGAGAAAACATAAGATGACTTAACCTTTCAATCTTGTTGACAATCCTTACTGTTATCTTCCATTGTCTCTCTTTTATACCACACACATCTCACACTCAACCTTAGAAAATATCATTGTGCAAATATGATATCAATGCCTTCATAAGTGCATTGAAACACAAACCAAACTTACTGCCATTTAGTCAATGTTGACTCATAGTGATTGAGATAGTTAAGGTTTACTGTGCCAACATGGTTAGTGAACCCACGTGGGATTAATTGAAGGTTGGGGACATAAATGGCTCAGCAATCCTCGCCTTTCATGTCTCTTGCTATTTGATCGTTGGAACAGTGTGCAACTGTCTTGCTTGTTTTTTAAATCAATTTTCAAGTTACACTACCTGTGGGACACCTAACCCATGGATTTTGTTGCTAAAATTTGAGGTTCCTTCAACACCTGCTTCAGCACGCTACTCGAATATACATCTCTTGAGCTGGGGAATGTCAGACCCTGTCATCGGGCTGACTCAGTGACCTGCTTTGCTGTTTGCTGCCTGTAGCCAGATAGCCTGAATTGTTCTACAGAGGACTACCCAGTTGCCCTCCAGACTTGAAGGACTGTCACTGTATTAGCTATCTCATGGAAGTGAGTTGCACTGAGTGATTTGTACTGCTTTATAGATTAATTAACTGTTTATTTCTTATGTTATCTATCTATATAAATGTATATAAAATTATTAGTCTGTTGGTTTTGCTTCTCGAGAGAACTCTGTCTAACATAGTGATCCTATAGGTCAGGGTAGAATTGGACCTGTCAGTTTCTGAGACTATAACTGTTTACTAGAAAAGAAAACCCCCTCTTTCTCCCACAAAACACCTGATGGTTTCAAAATGTTGACTTTCAGTAAGCAGGTAGGTTTCCATATTTTGTATTATGATTCTAAACCTAAACAAAACTAAATTAAACAAACAAAAACAAAGGAAAACAAACACATTGTGTTTGAATACATTTTAACTCATGGTGGGCACTGCATGCCACAGAAAAAAACTCTATAAGGCAAAATTATCTTCCTCTGTGTTACATGATGGCTTTAAACTCCAGTCTTTAGTGTACCAATTGAACACAAACAATTTGTGCCACTGAGGGATCTATATAAGATCCTGCTGTTATAATATGCATTTGATATTTTCAAAATGTGGTTATCCAACTTTGTGCTCTGATAAGTAAAAAGTAAATTTAAATTAATACCATACCTAACACCAGAATATCTAAAATAAGACAATTAGAGTAGCCAGTAAGAATAGCTCTCAGATTTATTGTGAAGTGACAATTGCCATACCAGCTTGAAAAACTATATGGCAGTCCCAACTATCACTGGGCCAATATATGCCCATGTCTCAAAAATCTCCCTCTTATGATAATACCCAAGATAAATAAGTGAACAACTGCCATAAGATTTGCAAAATAGCAGGGTTCCAGGAAGATGGCGACCATGTAACACACACCAGAGGGAGTCTGCGGAAATCAGCACAGGAGAACCACTGAGAGGGAAACTCCACTCTTCCAGGTCAAAGGAGGAGCATCATATAGATAAATAGACACAGATCCACTAGGTTTTGAAGAGCTATGGGCTTTTGGTTTACCACTGTGGAGGCCGGTTGGGCCTTAGCCTTAGCGCCAGCACAGACGCTGCCAGTGCTGGCTACTTTGATGGTCCAAGGGTTT